AGCAGTCAGGCCTGTCCCCTATATCTACTTCCTCATCTCTATAAAATCATTATAAGCATGATCTACACATCTATCAAGGGCACCCTTGATGAAAGTATGACAAGAGAACAGGTAAATTTTTACTGACACTGCTCTATAGTAGACCACGTTTTCATAGTTGCAAGATTGACTGAGAGGTGTTCAGAATACACTCACTGTTTTTTGTTTTCCAACCTCCCCCCACTTTGCCCCCAAAGTATTTGACTTAGTAGATCAAAATGCAGCCTTCAAGGCTCTTTCCACAACATTTTCCCCTATGCATTTGCTAGGATTATGGAAGATTCCTTGATAGATACAAACACAGAGGTAACGTTGTTCAATGATCCTCTGATTATGAATAGTCAAGTGAATCATAAAATGGGGAGACATCTGCTTATGCAAGGTATTTGCCAATGTCATGGAAAATATCTAAATGGAATAATAATAGTAATAACAACAACAATAATGATGACTATGATAATAATTGTAGCTAATATTTATAAAGTACTTAAAGGTTTGTAAAGCACTTTCCACATATTTCATTTGATCCTCACAACAGTTTGGCAAAGTGGGTGCTATCATTCCCATTTTACAGATGAGAGAACTGAGGTTGAGAAAAGTTCAGTGACCTGGCCAGGTTCACACAGATAGCAAGTGTTTGAGGGAGAATTTGAACTCAAATTTTCCTGAATCCATGTCCAACGCTATCCATTATATCACCTGTATTTGCTACAAATGTTGAGGCTCTTCGATGCCATTGTTCACAGTTAACATTGTGTTGATTGCATTTAGCACTGGAGTGATGAAGGACCTCTTCTGTGGCATCCATGCCCCCTCAAAAGAGAGCAGTATAGCAAGCTATACAAATAAAACAAAATGGACGTTGAAGGCAGATTGCTCAGATTAGGATAAGCAGTGGGATGGGGCAGCTCATTGAGTTAGCCTATTCATCCTACCAGAATTCTTTTTTTTTTTTAATTTTTGCGAGGGAATTGGTATTAATTAACTTGCCTAGAGTCACAGGTAGTAAGTGCTATTTGTCTGAGGTCACATTTGAACTCAGATCCTCCTGACTCCAGGGCTGGTGTGCTACCCACTGCGCCACCTATGAACCAGAATTTCTTAAAGCACCTAAAGGGTCATGCTCTCAAGAAGCTTAAATTCTATTGGGAGAGAAGAGAAAAAACGTATCCTGAGAAGTAAATAGAAAGTTATGTGGTGGTGGGGGCACTAGAAAGGGAATTATATCTTGTCTATACAAGATGGCACTTCAGTTGAGCCTTGAAGGAAGCCAGATACCTATGAGGCAGAGGAAAGAAGGGAGAGCATTCCAGGTATGTGCTGTGTAAAGGTATGGGAACAGGAAATGAAATATTATGTGGGAGGAATAGTAGGTAGGTCATTTTAGTTGGAATGTAGATTGCTTGGAGAAAAGTAATGTGATACCCCAAAGAAATAGAAAAAGAACCCCATGTGTACAAAAATATTTTATGGCAACTCTTTTTTTTTTTTAAATGGAAAACATTTGGAAACTAAGGTGTGCCCATCATTTTGGGGAATGGCTGGACAAATAAATCATGGTAAGCAATGGAATATTACTGTACCATGAGAAATGATGAAAGGGATGGTTTCAGAGAAATCCTATAGCAACTAATGCAGAGCAAATGAGCAGAAACAGGATGGCAATTTATATAATAACAATAACAATGAAAGGAAAAACAACTTGGAAAGACTTAAGAACTCTGATCAATGTAATAACCAACCAGTATTCCAGTGATGAAGCTTTCACCTCCCAACTTCTGCCTCAGAACAGATAGATTCAAAATGCAGAACAGGACACCCAGTTTGGGACATGGCCAATATGTGAGTTTAGTTTGCTAGTCTATGCATAATTGTTACAAGAGTTTTGTTTTTACTTCTCCCCCCACCATGGTGTGTGTGTGTGTGTGTGTATCTGTGTGTGTGTGTGTGTGTGTATGTATGTAAGGATTAGGATTAGAATTTCCCCTCAGAAGAGAATAGAAGAAGGGACAGAAGAAATTGCAGAGAAACAGGACATTTTTGAAAGTTAAATGTTAAATTTATTACAAACTTTAAAGGAGATGTTCAGTTTCATGTATAATCCTTTTTTTTTCTGTTTTACAATCTATATTGAAATGCTAATTTTATTTCATGTTTGTTAAATTTAGGAAAAAAAAGAAAAAAATTCTGTGTGGCAATCCTGGAAAGTCCAGTTGGAACCAGACCATGAAGGGCTTTCATCAGCACATATATCTTTAGATAAGAGCTGTAGATAGACACTGAGATGGGCTTAGAAATGAACAGGAGGAAAAGAGAGGACTAGACTGCATTTGGGAAATCATGCAGTACTTTGCCTTATCCCAAGTTACTCTTTGCCACCCCAAACCCACATTTTTAATATCAGTATTTCCCTGGTGACATTAGATAGTTGCAAGTCATGGAATGCCACCCTCTCAGAAGAATTAAAACTGAAAATGGCCTAACTAGAAATGGAAAGCTACATGGTGGGTGTATGACGGTTGCAGAATATTACTGATGAGAACTTAAAAGGGAGACGTGTCATAAAATATGTCACCCAGGACATGTATGACCTGAAAAGGAAGTGGGCTAGTCAAGGAGTGGGAGTAAAAGATAAGAGATGAGTAGATCAGCATTGGGGCATTATGCCCCATGTGGAAAATTTATGGAAGGGCATAGTAATTGCCCAGGATGAGAAGGAATAGATGATCTAGACTGGCTCTTGTGGCAGGAATACCCACATATAGAACACAGAATGTCAGAGTGGGAAAGGACCTCAGAAATCACCTCATCAGACCTGCTTATCTTTGTAGCAGGTGACTGAACTGTCATGGGTGACTGGCCAATAGGGGCCTGGTCCTTTTAGTACGTACAATCTGCTCTGCCTGGTGCCAATTCATGTGGATGCTTGGCAAGACTGCTTCCGAGGGCATAGGTAACAGAGGTCCTGCCCTTCACATCAGAGCATGGGCAGATATTCTGTGACTTTCCTGTTTGCTTACTGCACGATGAAAGGCCTTTTGTTGGCTGCTGCACTGGAAGTGAGTGCACATTCAAAGGGCTATTAAGGTGGCACGATGGATAGAGTGACGGGCCTGGAGTCAGGAAGACCTGAGTTCAAATCCTTCCTTAGACATTTACTAGCTGTATGAACCTGGGCAAGTCACTTGGCCCTATTTGCTTTACTTTCCTCATCTTTAAATTGAGCTGGAGAAGGAAATATATCTTTGCCAAGAAAACCCCTACTAAGGTCACAACAGCTGGACATGATCGAACAATAACATTAAGGGAAGACAGGCTATAAGCCTCTGGGTTGGGAAGCAGGCATTGGGCCCTTCTCTCCCTGCCCAGATTGCTATGTGGCCTATGATCACTCAGTATCTGATTATTCTTTCTTCTTCTTCTTCTTCTTCTTCTTCTTCTTCTTCTTCTTCTTCTTCTCTTCTTCTTCTTCTTCTTCTTCTTCTTCTCCTTCTCCTTCTCCTTCTCCTTCTCCTTCTCCTTCTCCTTCTCCTTCTCCTTCTCCTTCTCCTTCTCCTTCTCCTTCTCCTTCTCCTTCTCCTTCTCCTCCTCCTCCTCCTTCCTCCTCCTCCTCCTCCTCCTCCTTCCTCTTCCTCCTCCTCCTCCTCCTTCTCTTCCTCTTCCTCTTCTTCTTCTTCTTCTTCTTCTTCTTCTTCTTCTTCTTCTTCTTCTTCTTCTTCTTCTTCTTCTTCTTCTCCTTCTTCTTCTTCTTCTTCGCAATTGGGGTTAAATGACTTGCCCAGAGTCACACAGCTAGTGAATGTTATGTGTCTGAGGCCAGATTTGAATTCAGGTCCTCCTGACTCCAGGGCTCTATCCACTGTGCCACCTAGCTGTCCCCAGTATCTGCTTCTTCATCTCTTTATGTTAGCTCTTTCTTTTCTTGGGTGAATGAATATCAGAGATAACCTGAGCTCTGAAAGATCAAAAGAGCTATCAGGATCCTGGACCTGGAGTTTATATAAAAGTCTGCTGGCAGCTAAGCTTGGTGAGGAGGGCAGTCTTGGGCAGTGATTTGTAGGGTCGAGTAGTCAACGTGGAAGTCAAGGTGTCGTGTGCAGCAGCAAGGCAGTGGCTGGGACGTGAGCTTGGTAAGGTGACTGCTCGTAGTAGCTACTTTCTGTTTGGATCTACTATCCCCAAAGACTGAGGAAGAAGAAGGGGGAAGCATGCCGTAGTTCCGTGCAGAGATTTTTGCCCTTTGGTTCTCACTATATATTTTTAGTGAATATTCCTTTTAAAAGCAATTGATATTAATATTTATTGATGATAAAGCAAGTGTTTAATGATATTGGGACAGCAATCACTGTTAACTGATGTTGGGACGAACTCCAGAATGGGAGTTTGAGACAAGAGCATTAGAGGAGACCTCATAACACCTTAAGATTATCCCCAGGACCTTAAAGGGGAGGAAGAGCTGAACTCTGGGGCCCGGAGCCCCCAGCGGGAGCATGAGCTCAGAGACCTGCTACACTTTATAGATGAGGAACGAGAGACCCACAGAGGTCAAGGGACTTGCTCATGGCCACAGGTAGAACACAGCAGAACCAGAATTAGAGTTAGGTTACTCAGTGAATCATCACTGGGTGATTAGCTGAGGGACTAATTAGCCGGGATGCCTCCTCCGGCCACTTGGAAGGCCTTCCCTTCCTTTACCCCATCACCCAGCCCAAGGCAGGGGGAGGAGGGGTTGTTTCCCTTACTATTACTAGAGTCCTCCAGGGTGGCATAAAGATTACCCAGTACAACCTTCCTATTTTAAAGATGAAGAAGCCAAGAACAAGAGAGGGCAAAGGACTTTCCACAGCCACGCGGGGAATTAGTGGCAGAGCCACTAATGATACAGAATGATATTTCCCAGACCCCACAACTCCTCAGGGATGGTGCCCGCCTTTTGCTAAACCCACACCCCTAGCTAGTACCTTTGTACAGTACCGGGCCGAAGATGGCAAGGCTGTTGTTGACAGTGGTACAGTTCCATCGCCGACCTCGGAACTGATGCTGGCACTCCTGGATGCCAATCTTCACACCTTCAGCCACACTGGGCATGATATCTACGTAATTCCGACAGAAGCGCAGCTGTTTGGGCACCAGGCCGGGAATGCTCCCACACAGGATGGGCTGAGTGCCCAGTGAGGAGTACTGATGCCCCACAGCCAAGGAC